CGTCTGGAGTCATTTATCCCATCCTGAGTCATCCCCAATGAACACAATGTGAAACACACACCGTACGTACACACACACACACACACACAGACACACACACACACACACACACACTGCCTGACACACGCCAGGCTGTGATTCACCAACACCCACACACACTCTCACACACACACATAAAACAACCACAGAGTTGAATAGTTTGAGGTTTTTAGAGGGGTCAGTATATAGAGTTACAAATGTAGTGTCTATACTTTAAAGAGTCCTCTCCTGCTGATGTTCAGGTGTATATCAGTATGTAGTGTCTATACTTTAAAGAGTCCTCTCCTGCTGATGTTCAGGTGTATATCAGTATTTAGTGTCTCTACTTTAAAGAGTCCTCTCCTGCTGATGTTCAGGTGTATATCAGTATTTAGTGTCTCTACTTTAAAGAGTCCTCTCCTACTGATGTTCAGGTGTATGTCAGTATGTAGTGTCTCTACTTTAAAGAGTCCTCTCCTGCTGATGTCCAGGTGTATTTCAGTATGTAGTGTCTCTACTTTAAAGAGTCCTCTCCTGCTGATGTTCAGGTGTATATCAGTATGAAGTGTCTCTACTTTAAAGAGTCCTCTCCTCCTGATGTTCAGGTGTATATCAGTATGTAGTGTCTCTACTTTAAAGAGTCCTCTCCTGCTGATGTTCAGGTGTATATCAGTATTTAGTGTCTCTACTTTAAAGAGTCCTCTCCTACTGATGTTCAGGTGTATGTCAGTATGTAGTGTCTCTACTTTAAAGAGTCCTCTCCTGCTGATGTCCAGGTGTATTTCAGTATGTAGTGTCTCTACTTTAAAGAGTCCTCTCCTGCTGATGTTCAGGTGTATATCAGTATGAAGTGTCTCTACTTTAAAGAGTCCTCTCCTGCTGATGTTCAGGTGTATATCAGTATGTAGTGCCTCTACTTTAAAGAGTCCTCTCCTGCTGATGTTCAGGTGTATATCAGTATGTAGTGTCTCTACTTTAAAGAGTCCTCTCCTGCTGATGTTCAGGTGTATATCAGTATGTAGTGTCTATACTTTAAAGAGTCCTCTCCTGCTGATGTTCAGGTGTATATCAGTATGTAGTGTCTATACTTTAAAGAGTCCTCTCCTGCTGATGTTCAGGTGTATATCAGTATGTAGTGTCTCTACTTTAAAGAGTCCTCTCCTGCTGATGTTCAGGTGTATATCAGTATGTAGTGTCTCTACTTTAAAGAGTCCTCTCCTGCTGATGTTCAGGTGTATATCAGTATGTAGTGTCTCTACTTTAAAGAGTCCTCTCCTCCTGATGTTCAGGTGTATATCAGTATGTAGTGTCTCTACTTTAAAGAGTCCTCTCCTGCTGATGTTCAGGTGTATATCAGTATGTAGTGTCTCTACTTTAAAGAGTCCTCTCCTGCTGATGTTCAGGTGTATATCAGTATGAAGTGTCTCTACTTTAAAGAGTCCTCTCCTCCTGATGTTCAGGTGTATATCAGTATGTAGTGTCTCTACTTTAAAGAGTCCTCTCCTGCTGATGTTCAGGTGTATATCAGTATTTAGTGTCTCTACTTTAAAGAGTCCTCTCCTACTGATGTTCAGGTGTATGTCAGTATGTAGTGTCTCTACTTTAAAGAGTCCTCTCCTGCTGATGTCCAGGTGTATTTCAGTATGTAGTGTCTCTACTTTAAAGAGTCCTCTCCTGCTGATGTTCAGGTGTATATCAGTATGAAGTGTCTCTACTTTAAAGAGTCCTCTCCTGCTGATGTTCAGGTGTATATCAGTATGTAGTGCCTCTACTTTAAGAGTCCTCTCCTGCTGATGTTCAGGTGTATATCAGTATGTAGTGTCTCTACTTTAAAGAGTCCTCTCCTGCTGATGTTCAGGTGTATATCAGTATAGTGTCTCTACTTTAAAGAGTCCTCTCCTGCTGATGTTCAGGTGTATATCAGTATGAAGTGTCTCTACTTTAAAGAGTCCTCTCCTGCTGATGTTCAGGTGTATATCAGTATGTAGTGCCTCTACTTTAAAGAGTCCTCTCCTGCTGATGTTCAGGTGTATATCAGTATGTCGTGTCTCTACTTTAAAGAGTCCTCTCCTGCTGATGTTCAGGTGTATATCAGTATGTAGTGTCTCTACTTTAAAGAGTCCTCTCCTGCTGATGTTCAGGTGTATATCAGTATGTAGTGTCTCTACTTTAAAGAGTCCTCTCCTGCTGATGTTCAGGTGTATATCAGTATGTAGTGTCTCTACTTTAAAGAGTCCTCTCCTGCTGATGTTCAGGTGTATATCAGTATGTAGTGTCTCTACTTTAAAGAGTCCTCTCCTGCTGATGTTCAGGTGTATATCAGTATGTAGTGTCTCTACTTTAAAGAGTCCTCTCCTGCTGATGTTCAGGTGTATATCAGTATGTAGTGTCTCTACTTTAAAGAGTCCTCTCCTGCTGATATTCTGGTGTATATCAGTATGTAGTGTCTCTACTTTAAAGAGTCTAAAAATGTTCTTAACCTTTGTCCTAAAACTTTTTTCTTAGCAGTGACAGATGAGAAATATGTGCGTATATTTTACAAGTCAAAAATTACTTAACCCGCCTTACATGACTCACAGAGGATACTTAAATAGTTATGAATGGAGCCTGACAAAGGCGGCAAAGAGTCTGTGTGTGTGTGTGTGTTTGTGTGTGTGTGTGTGTGCGCGTGCGTGTGTGTGTGCGCGTGCGTGTGTGTGTAACGAGAGCGTAGCATGGGTGCAGCACAGCTTTTTGATGAGTCACGCGACACTGTGTGTGAGTAACAAACCAGCTATGCCATTCCTAAAGTTTGAGACTCCCATTGAATAACCCTCAGCCCGCCCTGAGGAGGAAGAGGAGGAGGAAGAGGAGGAGGAGGAGGAGGAGGAAGAGGAGGAGGAGGAGGGTGGAGTCCGTCTGTTGATAGGTGTGGTTGGCGTGGCAGAGAATATAGAAAATAGCAGGATGTAGAATTAGGGCGAGGGTAACTAACAGGTCAGAGTTAAAGGGGAACACGAAGGAGTGGTGATGTAATCGAGTACATTTTGAGGTACTTGTATGAGTATTTTTCATTTTACTCTACTTTATACTTCTAATCCACTACATTTCAGAGGCCAATGTCGTACTATGTGTGTGAGACTACTGTCCATAACATATATAACTACTTTTTGTAATGAAGTACTATGCTTAAGTACATTTTGAGTTACTTGACTATTAGTAGCTGTATACTTCTACTCCACTACATTTTAAAAGCCAGTACTTGTATTGAGTATTTTTGATTTGATTCGACTGTATAGTTCTAATCTACTACATTTCACAAGCTAATGTTGTACCTGGTGTGTAAAAGTACTGTCCATGAGAAGATATAACTCGTTTTTGTAATGAAGTACTTGGCTTAAGTACATTTTGAGTTACTTGACTATTAGTAGCTGTATACTTCTACACATTTTCTGATTAAAAACTCAGACAAGGCGCTTTGTTTTGTGACCGCAAAGAGAAAGTACCAGAGTTTACGGGACAGGTCGATAAACCACAGTAACCCCGCGCTGACCACAGCTTGCAGAGGAAAGTACCGACAACACAAAACAAAAAGTGGACGAAGGAAGGTCAGAAAAGATAAGATAAGGGTGTTTTTATATTTGAAAAAGTACTATCAACCTCGTGCATGTATGTGAGAAAAGGTAACCCAAGATAAAAAGGTAAAGATTGAAACAAAAAGACCCTGTTTGTTAGTGATTGGAGGAAGTATTCTGATCTTTCACTTCAGTAGAAATAGCAATACTACATTGTAAAAACACTCAGTTACAAGTAACAGCATGATATCAGAAAATATGCATTCAAATACCAAAAGTATGTATTATGCCGTATCCATCACACATTAAAAACGTGTTTTAAGTGATGCTCCGGTGCTCTGACATTTACAGAGCAGACCAGATGCACAGCAAGTCATTATGTGTGTGTTTTCTAAAGATATTAACTCCAATAATTCTTAAACACACTTCAATTCACCGCTTTTATTCGGACACCTTTGTCAAACATTTTAAAAAGAATTACTCTAGCGTGACGAGACAGATAATCACACTAAAGTCTATACAGCACGTTAAGTGTGTGTGTGTGTGTGTGTGCGTGTGTGTGTGTGTGTGTGTGTGTGTGTGTGTGTGTGTGGAAGTCATAAAGACACACTCCTCCACTGTGTGTGATTTCAGTGTGGGGGGGGGCACTGCTTACACTTATTTAGACCCTTTTTTTTACTTCTACAGACACTGCTTTTGAAGACCCCGTTTCACACACACACACACACACACACACACACACACACACACACACACACACACACACACACACACACACACACACACACACACACACACACACACACACACACACACACACACACACACACACACACACACACATTGAAAAAGAGACTGCCCTCACTCCTTCTCTCCTCCCTCTTCCCTCCCCTGGTTTTCTGAATGGATGTCCTCTCTCTAACCTCATAGCGAGCGCTGTAACAGGACACTGCTAAGCTCAGCCCCCTCTTTAACAGCCACACTATAAGAGAGTCCTCCTCAGAGTGTGTGTGAGAGTGTCAGTCTAGGGGGGGCGAGAGAGAGGGAGAGAGAGGGAGGGAGGCTGCTGTGAAACATGTGATAGCGCAACCTTTGGCGAGGCTTATAGGGAGTTTAACGGCTGGAGCGTCTCTGGGAAACCACCTTTACCCCAGAGGGAGAGTGTGTGTGTGTGTGTGTGTGTGTGTGTGTGTGTGTGTGTGTGTGTGTGTGTGTGTGTGTGTGTGTGTGTGTGTGTGTGGTGTGTGTGTGTGTGTGTGTGTGTGTGTGTGTGTTGTGTGCTGTCACTTTAAGCCTGTTACTGATTACACTCAGAAGAATGCAACGGGAGGAGGACAAGAGATGTAAAAATCTTTTTAAGAGTTTTGTGAGAAGTCGTTACCCAACAGACTCTTTATTTCTCTCTCTCTCTCTCTGTTGGAACAAAAGTGACCAGAACTGAACGGAGGACACACTTAAAAGAAAAGACAGAAAAACTGAGGAAAGGAAGAAGAAGAAGAAGAAGAAGAAGAAGAAGGGGGGGGTTCCCTCATTCCAAGCTCAGCGCCGGGAGGAAACTCTCACCCAGACGGGTAAGTGAAAAAAGACTTTGAAAATGCTGGCAGAAAGTGGAGCTGCTGCTGCTGCTGATGGATATCATATGTTACAAGTTAGGGTTGAGAAACTGCTCCCAGATCCATAATAGGCCGAGCAGCAAGCAGCACTGTGAGAAGAGGGGGTACAGAAACCCCGGTAACAGGGGGGGTGGGGGGGGGGGGGGGGTGGGGGGCATTCACTGCTAAAAACGTTCTATTTAAAAAGTGTGAGAAATGGAAATAGAGGAAGTCATGTGACACGTTATTCAAGAAGCCGGTAAATGATCAGGATCGGCTCGTCAGGTCTGAATGTTGATTACATGTGGATATCTTTATGTGAGGCGCACACACACTGAAAAACTGACTTTAATTGAATGTATGTCATTAATATTAAGTCCACGTACAGGTTAAAACTTAAACTTAATATTAGTGCTTTCAATTAACCAAATGATGTGATGTAATCTATTTAATTAAAGTCAACATTTCCGTTTTTTCAGTGCACGTGATAAAAATAGGTCTTTGTGGTTAATGGACTTTTTCTGTACACTTCCTCTCTGCTTCCTCCAGAAGGCATGAATGAAGTGAGTGTGTGTGTGTGTGTGTGTGTGTGTGTGTGTGTGTGTGCGTGCGTGCATGTGTGTGTGTGTGTGTGGGTGTGTAGAGGGGGGCTTGATCATACAGCGGACAGTGCAGTGTGGCTTCTTTATGAATGGACATGGCATGTGATTGGCTGAGAGGAGAAAGTGACGAACTGGATTTGATGTCTCCGGGTTACCACCTCCTTTTAAACGCTGCCGTGTGTGTGTGTGTGTGTGTGTGTGTGTGTGTGTGTGTGTGTGTGTGTGTGTGTGTGTGTGTGTGTGTGTGTCGGGGGGGGGAAATGTGACACTGAGAGAGACAGTGTTTGAGAGGTTTGTGTGAATCAGTGCTCGTGGTTCTGGGGTTACATGTGTTTGTGTAAGGAGGTTTAGTCACCAGTCGAACATACAGTGGGGTGTGTGTGTGTGTGTGTGAACCTGTGAGTGTGTGTGTGTGAACCTGTGAGTGTGTGAGTGTGTGTGTCTTAAGCACTTTTAAGAGCCATGGCCCTCTGCCCAGCTGTTGTTCTTCCAAAGATCTCCCACTCTGTGTGACTCAGACGCATCATTACTCTTACTCACTCGTAACGTAATGAGAGGGCAGGGCTCCACCGTTAATACGTAATAATAACAATAATAATAACAATAATAATAACGCTGCTTCTGCTTGTGAAATCACTCGGATAAACTCCCGGGATTTATTCCTCCTGCCTGCGTGCGCTAACGTTTACTGGATTTACGTAAAACTACTTAAACTGAAAGATAGCAGAAGTGATGGTAAACATGTGTGGATCTCTTCAACATGTGTCATTTTTTTTAACGAACCCTATTAGGAAGATTTTCTTTTAATGTGGCACATTTACACAATTTGCACACACTCATTGATTAGGGGTGTGTCTGTAGCAACACATCATATACACACTCTTTGTTTTACTGCAACCATCGCCTCTCCTTAACTTCTAACACAGATTACTGCAGTTCCTTTACTTCACTCTGCAGTTTATGGCACCAGGAAATGTGAATATATGTGAGAAATAGGGGGGAGTGATAAGAAGTCAGCCGTAAATGCTGGAGCGCACGGATCTATCGGAGTTTATCAAAGCAGTGTTTCCGGTGTGTGTGTGTGTGTGTGTCAGTCTGTGTGTGTGTGTGTGATAGCGGGGGTTTTGGCGGTGAGATGCATCGCAGTTATCTTGATGAGGAGAGATTAAATTCCCCGGGTGGAGATTAGCGTGGAATCTGCCCTCTGCCTTATCTCTGAACTCTGAACTCTGGCCTGAGTTGGCAGGAAGCAGAGCGCCAAACTGGGGCAAATAGAGCATGTGTGGAAAGTCACAATATATATAGTTTACATCGTACATTTTTAGGTGATTATCTTAGAATACAGGATCAAAGGGGCAGCTGAGCAAAGCGCTGAACTGGGGCAAATACAGCATGTGTGAAAAGTCACAATATATAGTTTAAATCGTACATTCAAGCATGTGTGAAACGTCACAATATATAGTTTAAATCGTACATTCAAGCATGTGTGAAACGTCACAATATATAGTTTAATTTGTACATTTTTAGGTGATTATCTTAGAAAACAGGACCAAAAAGTGAAATGCATTCATAGAGAATAATTCAGGTATCTGTAAAAAGTTAATAAGATACGTTTGATTTTATTTCCTTGAGTTATTTCCCAGTCAAAACAAAGTATACATTATTTTTAAGTTTTGTGACGATCGCTCCATATTATAAAGAAATCAAATCGTTTTAAATCGAACGTTTTTAGGTGATTATCAGAGAAAACAGGAACAAAAGGAGAAATGCATTCATTTAGAATAATTCAGGTTCATGCAATTCATGCAAGATAACTTAAAAAAGTGAATAAGATAAGTTTGATAAGCTGAAAGTAAGTCAAAAGTAGACCTTATTCTAACTAGGATGGACATTTTTCATTTTCTAGATAATCACTAATGGAAATGACTGTAAATTGTCGCTTATTACATCAAAAGGTCACTTATCTGCTGTTTGAATGTGCTGTTAGTGTCTGGAGGTGTTTGGTGTTGAGGACAGAAGTACCAAACGTCCACGAGTCTTTGTGAATCAGTGAAATCATTGAAGTATGGCGTCTGCAGGTGATTCAGTGAGGCTGTAAGTCACTAATGGCAGGGGTTAGTCAGAGGCACATTCTTTACTGTAACACACACACACACACACACCTAAGACATTGTGACATACCGTAGTTATTCCTCACAGTTATGCAACTAACACTTTAGCGATGTTAACCACCGCTTCGACTCATTCCTTCTCTTGTTGTCCCGACTCTTTGTTTACACAGCAACACGTCGTTCTCTCAGCGCTGTCGTTCGGCGGCACATCACACAGTTAAGAGCATAACTCAGACGTCACGGGGACTAAATGCAGTTTGGTTAGTGTGTGTACAACACAAGAATCCCGTTACAGCGTCTGTCAGTGTGTGTGTGTGTGTGTGTGTGTGTGTGTGTGTGACGTGTGTGTGTGTGTGTGTACTCAAGAACATTCGTTCCAACGGTGAACTAACCACACACACCTGGTCTGTTTCCTCCTCTGCACATATATGGGCAAAGCTTCCCCCTACCTGGGCCCCACTCTGAATTCCAATAAGCGGCAGTGTGTGTGTGTGTGTGTGTGTGTGTGTGTGTGTGTGTGTGTGTGTGTGTGTGTGTGTGTGTGTGTTGTACAGACGGACGCACGTCATGGAAAAGCAGGATCAATGGGCAAGGCGCAGAGCTGCGTATTTAAGGTGTTCCTTTTGTTTTCCAAAGGTAATCAGTGAACACGGTGACTCAGTGATCATTCAGAGAGTAAATGTACCTCTTATTATAACACAAGGTGAAAGTGACACTAATGTAGAAACCCCTCCCTCTCTTTCTGTGGATCAGGGAATAGATTATTCCATCCAGGATCAAGTCTCTGATTCAAAGAAGACACTATAGGGGTTTTATAGTTTCAACAGCAGCCATTATAACTATTAAAACGTCCTAACATGAAGCCATTACAAGGAAACGGCTTAAACTGGACATCCAATGATGACTGGTACGATATTATATATGAAAAATGTGTATTATGTATATTATAGAATCTTCAGGAGAATACATTTGAAGAAAAAGGGGAAGCGATATATTTCCCACAGAAGGCCTTTCTTAGCTTGTGACTCCCAATAAATGATTTTATAAAACGTCCTTTACGCGAAGCCATTACAAGGAAACGGCTTAAACTCAACATCATATCAGTATATGCATGGTACGATATTATATATGAAATATTCTTATAAGAGTCTTCAAGAGAATACATCTGAAAAAGTGGAAGCGCTTTATTTCCCAGCGATAGCTTACAGCTTTAATCTGCTTCTGTATACTCCCCGCTGTATTTTCTTTCTCTCTAAATATAAAACACACCTTGTCTGGTTTTCTCTAATAATTAAAGTGACCATTCAACATGTAGAGTAAAAACAGTTTTACTAGCAACATGTGCTGTATTCTAATAACTTATTCTTAATATAAGGCAAATAGCTGTTGAATTATTAGGTGAGTTCTCTGAAGTACTAAATAGTGTTTCACCGGAAACATGACGTATGGACTGGCTATGATCCTGGAACAAACTAAAAAGATGGATCATTGCGTAAATCGAACTTATGACAATTGTGCAAACTTTGAAGAGGCCCTATTCGACTTTTTGGGGTTTTCCAGATTAAGTAGAGGCACACAATGATATTATGAATCAGAATAGGGCCCCTTTAATGCCGTGACCCCCTAGAAATGATAGTATTGCGACGCAGGAAAGCTCCTAAATTGACTTTAAAGCATCAGACACTTTTCTTCTGATATGCATTTCCCTGTTTCCCCTTTATTCTGTCTCCTCCTTTTCTTTGCGCTGTGCAACTCGCCAGGCCTTCATAAAGCAGCGAGAGAAAGGGAGTTTGCTTTCTTCGGTCTTTCTGCCAGCTCTTTCCCATCAGTCCAGCCCCCTGGACGAGCCTGAAGACACCCCTCTTTCCCCCTCTTTTCTCCCTCTTCAGGCCTGGTTTTTGGGGGTTAGGGTACACAAGGCTCTTTGGTCTGGATCCACCTCTCATGACAGCACAATCAGAATCAGAGGTTAAACACGTACGAGGAATTTGACTTGGAGTCGTGGTGCGTACATGAAAGTAAAACTGAAATGAAAAACACAGATAGAGAACTATTTGAAGAATATAATACAATAGTATTTACATTGAACTAGAATGGAATACAATATGTGCAGTAATACAAAACACAGATATTGTGTATATTGTACATGTACAGTAGCAGTCTGTCTTTTGGGAGGACTTTCTGGGACTGTGGACGGGGAACAGAGGTGGAAAGAAAGACCCTCCATTTCTCCACAGAATCAGAGCTTTTTGGCGTCCTCTCTTGGGATTGGACGCTCTCATTCTCCCGTCAAAACCAATCAGAGTCTCAGGCAGAGAGCTGATATCTGATTGGCTGCCGGCCTCATGGAGCGACGGCTTAATTGGCAGCGAACTGTTACAATATTATATCTTAAATCCTTGTTATATATAAGAGAGGCTTCAGGAGAATACATTCAAGCTTGAATATGCTTTTGTATATTCCCTGCTGTATTTCCTTTCTCTCAAAATAGAAAGCACGCCCTTGTCTTGTCTTCTTTTCTGCTTTTTCGTACCTTTTTCACGTTACATTACATTACATGACATGTCACTTGTTAGACGCTTTTATCCAAAGCGACTTACATACTCAATACCATGGGCAATCCCCACAGGAGCAATTTGGGGTGAAGTGTCTCAGGGACACAACGACATGCTGACTGCAGTGGGGTTTGAACCTGTGACCCCCTGATCCCAACACCAACGCACAACCCACTGCACCACACGCCTCCCGTTACGGTTCAAACTGATGACCTTGTATACAGTGGATTGAATCTCTCTCAGTCTGTGAAAGCTCACTGATTGGTGCAATTGTCTCTTTTTATTTCATGAATCCAACACATTTAATGAGACTGTGTGGAAATAATCTAATATTCCTACATACCATCAGAATTACGTGTTAACAATGCTTTTTGTTGCTATTTTTAATACTATTTTCACAAGAATTGACGCCTTTTAGTCGCTTAGTTGACTAATTGTTCATTTTTTACCACTACATTTTTCGTCTTTTCACTCTGAATGATTTATTTTAAAGTAACTTATAAGCACATCTTTGATGAACACGAGAAAAAGACAACAACAACTTGTATATTAGCATGTTTGTATATGGAGGAAGGTCAGTTTTACGTATCTGTCGCTTACATCAATTAATCAATCAGTGGAGAAAACTGTTTGAGTTTTAGTTTACTAAGAATTGCTTTAATTTTCACTAGAATTCTCATAATTACGTGTCTAAAGGTTGCTCTTCCTACTGCAAAAAGAAGACCTTAACCTCCGTGGTGACAGTCTCAAGGTCCTCAGCTGAGTCTTTCAGGGAGACAACGTGAGGAGGAAATGTGATCGAGTTGTGAAAGGCGTTTTATAAAGATCCAATTTTCTCCGAGAATGTATTTTCGTATCTAATTTCCGTCATTCAAAATAGACACGACTACATTTCCACATTTCATTTGGAAGGATAAGTGTAGATGAACAGTGGGGGGACGTTAAAGATGGAGTGAGGCACATTGTGTCCTACACACACACACACACACACACACACACACACACACAGATGGAATGCATCCACACCCACCCACACATACTTGAGTAACACACATACACCCAAGAACTGTCGCTTACTGCAGAAGTGCAACACACACACATACATACACATACACACACACACACACACTTGTACAGTGGTCACCCCCTACTTTGAGGCTAAGGCAGGGTAATGATTCAGTTCCTCTTTGCTTCCCTCAGAATGTGTGTGTCTGTGCGTGTGTGTGTGTGTGTGTGTGTGTGTGTGTGTGTGTGTGTGTGCGTGTGAATGTGAATGTGGATGTGAATGTGGATGTGGTCCGGCACAGTCATCTTCCAGGCAGCTCGGAGGAAAGCCACATCAACTGCCATGCACCAAACTCTAGGAATAGACATAGAATGGCACGCCTTGCCTCACCCGGCCAAACCCCTCCTAAACTCCCAAATGCATTCATTCATTCATTCATACATTCATTCATAGTGTTTGGTGTTGCAGGACTTACATGCTTTCACTCATTTAACCCTCCCTGAATAGTCTCCAGTGACGGGACACGATGTTGAAATCCATCCGTCCGTTAATGAAATATATAGCGGTGATGAACTCATAAACCGAGACATTGTAATAAAACTGTCTCGACTGAATTCATAATGACAAAGCATTTACTGACTCGATGTAGAAATTCATTGTCTTTCAGTCAGATATCACCGTGATGAAATCAAACTGAGATATGGTTACACACAATCATGACGACTAAATTGATAAAACAAAACGAATCTTAAACTGACCTGAAATATTTTTTAAGAAATATCATTCGAATATTGCAGTTTTCTCTTTTCATTTTGCACAAAAAAGAGTCAGTATTTCTCATTATTTAAGTATTATACATATTTATAACATATCAAATTGTCATATAACAGAGATTAGGATAGAATATTAGGCGATATCGCTGAGTCTTACCCCTTATTGTACATTTAAAAGGCTTTCTTTACCATGTTCACGTTTGTTGTTTTACATAAAACAAACACTTTCTAAAACAAAGTCGTTTTCATTGTTCAAGTATGACATGTATTTATAGCACATGTAGTGTCTTCCAGATATGAAATAATAGAAACTGGGCCATATCGCCCAGCCTTTCCCCATTTTTTACAACTAAAATACAATTTTTATCATGTTTTGCGATCATTTCGTACTCATCCCAAAGACGTTTGTAACCAAAGTCCATATTACTTTGCATTCGATGCGGAGATCAGGTTGTGGGATGTGTTGAACAACGAGAAAATGGCCAATGGTACCACATTGAACCTCCTTAAGAAGTCTCTGCTCCCATCAATAATGTATATGTTATTCCTCAAACACTGCACGATTCATTCTGCTATGAGCTATCACTTTATTGAAGCACCCTGGTTTTCAGCTGTGAGAGTTTTCTCTTCCTCCTCCTCTGATTCTGTCCTGCTTGCATGGCCTCTTCGGTGATTCCTTTACGTACGTTTGACTCCCTGCCCAGCGGCATCACCAAAGCATGGAAAAAAGACAGAGATAAGACTCAGAGGAGCTTATCTCCAGTCCTGTGAGCTGACTCTCACTCACTTTCACTCAAAGTGCCGCTAACTGTGTGTAATTAATTTCATTTGCATTTCTGTTAAACTCATGTATTCCCTTTTTATATATGTTTCAGGTTGGCTGGTTCTGCAGAGATGGGTCCAGATAAACATCCATGAGTTCCCAGAGGTATTCCAAAGAAAGGTAAGATATGAATTCATTGATTTCTGCATCAACACACAGCTTTTCCCCCTCTTTCCTCCTGTCATATTCTCTCTGGAAACATTAGTCCCTGCAGCAAAGAACCCACATCCCTTCATACTTCAGGGAGCAAAGACAATCATCTTTCAATCTTACATTCATAGGTAGAATATATCATTGAGCAGTCAAGAAAGATTGCTGATGGGAAAAACGACAAATAACTATCGACTTTATGTAAGAAGTGGAAGTAATCTCCGTGCAACACCTATTGGTTTGTGGACTACAGTTTTAGAGCCGTGAGTTTTGCCTTTTGGGACGTCACCGTCTGGGTTTTTGCAACAAGTAACAGAAACCAGGTCAAACCAAACAGTGTCAAAGGCATTTTAGGGGAAAGAATGTTACAATGAACTTTTATGAACTGAAAACAACACAAAACAAGATCTCAAATGCTGTGGTAGCAAGCTGTCAATAACAACGTGTTCCCATCCTAAAGTGTACCTTGATTTATTCTTCATTTTACTTTAAATGGTAACATAATTTACAAAATGAACATCACACACTGAAAAGACTTAAAACTAGCTTTTAAATCAAGTGAGAAGTGAGGTAATTTCCTCGTAGACTTAATAGATCTCAAATGTTTTGCAATCAGTAGAGACGACAGATAGGTGGATGATAGTAGTAACACAAGACAGGTCAAACCAAATGTCAAATAAGTCTTTTTAGGCGACAACATTTTGAGGAAACACACAAAGAGAAACAGGGAAAAAGCTGTTTTAGCAACCTGTCAATCACAAGGTAGCCTCGCCCTAAAATATACCCTACTTCATCGTCTATTTTACTCTAAATTGGACCATAGGTTACTAAATGAACATCATGCTGTATTGAAGACGACTTAAAATTACAGATTGAGAAAAAAACTCACTCGGAAAATGTTGGTAATAAGTCAAGTGAGAAGAAGCGTCATTTTCTTGTAGATTTCTATATCTTTTGACTTTATTAGCAAGGGTCGCTGGATATTAGAAATAGTGCAAGTTAAGTTGCATTGGCTTCAAAATTCAGACCAAGTAACGCAAATCAAAGTAGTGTGATGTGTCTCATCAAAGAGGTACGACACTATAGCATGTAAAAAGAGAGCAAAGTGTGACAGAAGAACTCAGATAGAAGAAGCATTAATGCTGAAAGAGAGCAGGAATGTGAGGAGGAAAGAGGAAAAGGGTGGAGAGGCGGCGCATTTCCCTTAATAAAACTCAATTGGAGTCAAGTGACCATCAGCTGGTCACATTGTGTTTGATCAATACAGTCATGAGGCCTCAGGTATGCAGACCACAGAGAAGGAGAGGAGATGTTACCCTCCTTCTTTCCTTTCCTTTCCTTACCTCCTCTCCTCTCCTTTCTCTCCTGCAGTCACCTGTACAGGTCGTGATTTATTAGGATTGGGTCAGCGCTCCCATTATGTGTCGGTTTAAGTGCTGGAGCCCGAATGGCTGTCGCGCCTCGGGGCTAATGGGAAAGAATGACAGGAATCTGCGACTGATAACGCCACGCTTTGAGATGTTCGTCAGCGTGTAATCTCCAGTATCCTTCCCCTCCCTCAGGCTGCTTCTCCTCTGCTTTATCTAATCCATAGAGTGGTGCAGGAATGAGTCATATAACCTGAAAATGAGTCACTATTTTAGCACTTCCTGTCACCTCGTCTGGAAGTCAATGGTTCTTTGAATGTGTTTTGGGCTGTTTTGTTGCTAACAAGTGTTTAAATTGTCTAAACGACTTAATGTCATCCCGCCCAACATTAGCCGCCTTTAGCTTAGCGGTGGTGACGTGAAGTCATGTGACCGTGCTGTAGTTCCTTTATAGCCCAACATTAGCCGCCTTTAGCTTAGCGGTGGTGACGTGAAGTCATGTGACCGTGCTGTAGTTCCTTTATAGCCCAACATTAGCCGCCTTTAGCTTAGCGGTGGAGACGTGAAGTCATGTGACCGTGCTGTAGTTCCTTTATAGCCCAACATTAGCCGCCTTTAGCTTAGCGGTGGTGACGTGAAGTCATGTGACCGTGCTGTAGTTCCTTTACAGCCCAACATTAGCCACCGTTAGCTTAGCGGTGGGGACGTGAAGTCATGTGACCCTGCTGTAGTTCCTTTACAGCCCAACATTAGCCGCCTTTAGCTTAGCGGTGGTGACGTGAAGTCATGTGACCGTGCTGTAGTTCCTTTATAGCCCAACATTAGCCACCGTTAGCTTAGCGGTGGAGACGTGAAGTCATGTGACCGTGCTGTAGTTCCTTTACAGCCTTTTCTATGTAAGCTTTTTACTTCAGAAATCATAAAGTGGTGTTAATATGTGGAGGTTATTCTGCTGAACAACACATGAAGGTATCATAAAAGTGTGTTTGCCACAGATTTTATTATTATTATTTACTCCATTTGGCCTTCAAAAATACATCATATGCTTTGAACCAACTCTATCTCTGCACAATCCACTGATTTCTTTCCTCTTCTTCATCATTTTCTCACTTCTTCCTCTCCATATGTTTCTAATGAATCTATTTGTTCTTTCTCCTCAGATGGGAGTCTTCATGTGCGTCACGTCTCGTGTCTCTGTGGCTGCTGTCAGTTGCTCAGTAGGCAGTGTAGATCCTGTGTAGAAATCAGCAGCTACATCTGGCTACTGGGTCTCTGACGGCTCTGCCTACTTCCTGGTCGAGCCATACACGCTCCTCTCTCATTGGCTGGTGGCGCATTCCAACTCCTCTGATTAGCTGTGAAGACAGGAGTGGTGGGGGCTTCATCCTGTGACCCCCACAGACAGGATGTTCTCTGTGTCACAACTCCACAAGGGGCCCTTGTCAAGGCTTTTTGTGGGTTTTCTTTCACTTCTTCCTCTTCCGCCATTCTTTTAAACTCTTCCCCCCTCAAGGTCCTCTTTGTGTGAAATGTCCTAGCAGTCACATCGATTTCAAGAAGTTACTTTGGTGAAAGAGACGCATTTAAGGTGACAATTTAAACTTTTATGTAGAGAAAACATAGATAAAACATAAAATAAATACTGTGTTAGCGACCTGTCAATCACAAGGTAGCCCCGCCTTAAGCATACACTACTTTATTTTACTCTAAATATGACCATAAATCACAAAATGAACGTCATGCTGTATTAAGAAGATTTCAAACTGGATATATAGAACATTAACTTGATAGGAAAATGTGTACTGATGTAATAAATCAAGTGAGAAGTTGGATAATTTTCTCGTGGACTTCTATAGATTTGCTAGATATTACAAAGAATGAAGGTTTGGTTGTATTCTGTTTGCTATTCAGAACATGGAGGTTGAGAAGCATTCACTCATGCATGTTTGAAAGGCCTTCAAGGTGAAAGAAACGACCCTTTGCTTTGTCCTGAACCTGGCATACAATGTAGATTTCTGTGTGGTTTATTTCTACAGCTACATTGTCTGCTGGGTTTCTGGCTAGCAATATATGCAGCAAAAACATAACCATTAATTATAAATAAGAAGGTAAGTATTCATCAGTTCTGTCAATGTGCCTCGACTAACTGACCCTGATGATTCAATAAAAAAAATGTTAAGACCACTGAGTGACTCCTGCTGTCGTTTGTCAGATCACATTTGAAGGGAAAAGAAAATCTGGATTCTGCAGAAAAATCTATTCAGTGTTGCTTTTGTGTCCCGAGAGTTAACGCCGAGGAAGAGATGCCAGGAATATTCCGGCAGCTCAGCACAAAGCCGAGTCCTTGTCTGTCAGGAAGCTGTCACACTGCTGTCAGAGCGACGCCTTATTAGTGGCACAGCACTGTCTCCCTGCAGCACACACACACACACACACACACACACACACACACACACACACACACACACACACACACACACACACACACACACACACACACACACACACACACACACACACACACACACACACACACACACACACACACACACACACACACACACACACACACACAATGCTTTTGACAGACATTCTGCGTCCTATTCTCAGCTGGGAAAGTTGCTTAAAGCCCAAATGCGATATGGAGTAGAAGAATATTTGGTTAAGGAAACACATGTGAAGATATCTGAATAATGTGGGGTAATGTCACGCATTTTAAAAAGTTCTGGACCAGGACTCCAGTTTCTTTATGTATTTAGTGCAATATCCAAAATGCAGTAAGCGCAAGTATGGCAATGGAAAAGTATGTGAAATTCTTTCTTTACTTTACTCTAATAAAAGCAATTAACCGTCATTTGTGTGTCTTTGTTTGATTATTTGGGGTGGATAGGATTGCACAATCAATCAAACTATAAAAATGTATTCATAATAGCAAAATGGATATGTGCAATACCCAAATCGCAGTAAATTCAATATTTGGTTATGGGAAAATACATGAAAATATCTGAATTAAGTTTGTTAACTTCACACACTTTCTGACACTTTAGATGAACTGTAATTTGGTGTGTTTTTGATTGATCGTTTTCGATGATTAGGGCTGCACAATTACCTAAATTGTATTAAAATTGCACAATAGACAATAGAGCAATATCGCTGCAGAAAGCATCATATTTGGAAACACAGGAAAAGTATGTGAAAATACCTGAATCAAGAACGTCACACACCTTCTGATACTACACATAAACTGTCATTTGGGGTGCTTCTGTTTGATAATTTGCAATAATTAGGGCTGCATAATTAATCGAAATGTTATTAAAATTGGAATAAGAACTAGGAAATAATTGGTCGAGGAAAAATATGTGAAAATATTTGAATAAAGTGTGTGTGTGGACTCCGAAATCAACTTTTACATTGTGCAGCCGAAGTAATGGCTTCTTCACACACACACACACACACACACACACACACACACACACACACACACACACACACACACACACACACACACACACACACCACACACACACACACACACACACACACACACACACACACACACACACACACACACACACACACACTCCTACACACACACGCACACACACACGCAGCAGGGAGACTGAGCAGACATGAGTGAAGCCGTGCAGAAGCAGGTGACCTGGCTCTGTAAAGCTATATCAAGGTGTTGCGCCATACAAACACCTGGGGGGAAAAGGACAGGAGTCTCCAGCGAGAGGTGATGGAAGTCAGTGTGTGTCCAGCAGTGAGTCACATGGTGTGTCACATGATGCGTCAGCAGAAAATAGTGTCACTGTTCACAGCTCAGAGCAGAAAGAAAGAGAGGTGAAGCTCCATCACATGGCAGCAGGACTTTGACTTGTACATCCTCCTGGGAACCGAGGACAAAAAGTGTTTTCCAATCTTCTTTATTTTTTATGTCCTACCTATTTAGGGTTAAAAAAACATCTTGCAAATTAGACTTTTTAAAATTGTTTTTCATTTTTAAATGTTAAAGGACGTCAAGACCATTTTAGTTTGAAAAGACAGCCACAATGAACAGATAGACTATGTAACGTATTATGCTTATAGAGTGATATTAATACAAGAATACATTCACCTTTATTTAAAACATGAGTAATTGATCTGAACGTTGCTGTTTATTTGGTCACTAAAAAGACTTTCTATTTTATTTGTATTTACTTGCACATCTCAAAACATTCTCTTGCACCATTTTATTCGTTCTATGTGTTTGATGTCCTAAATATATTCATGTTGCTCTGTTGGAGGAGCCTGGGACTTCAGTTTGTCATTGCCATATCTACACTGTAGCTGCTGAGCACATGATGATACAGCCTTGAAACTTGAATGAGGTTTTGATCGCTGCACAAAAGTGTGTTTCTTTCGAATGTTCCTCCAAAGTTAGAAATGAGGAATAAATCAAATGTCCTCACAGCAAAAAATGCAAAAATAAAATGTAGAATTCACCTGAAGCAACATTGAGTCTCTTGTGGAGTGAAATATTAATATGAAGCTCAGCGCAAGTACAACCAGGAAGACCGTCTTTCCTCATTAATTTACTATGTCTATGTCACTACTCTCTCTCTCCGGGGACCTCCAGGGGACCTTATTTCGGAAAAAGTATGTATTGAAGTCAATAGAGAGAGAGCACCCGGTCCCGCATGCTGGCTCTTACGGAACCGACTCACTCCCCTTGTGTGTATGTGCAGCTCTCAACATGCCCAGACTTGGAGTGATTTTCACCTCTTTTAATACTTTCCGCCTCATTCTGAAAGAAAGAAGTGAAATGTGCCAACGTGACGGCCGTCTTGGTGTGTGGTGCGAGACGGGAGAGGTAGTTCATTGAGCGGTTTCACACAAAAGAAAGTGTTACTTCACAGTTTTACAACATTTAAAAAAAATTTGACTTGCAAATTTATCTTTTAAATTGACAAACATCATGTGTGTAATTCGTGGCACAATTCAAACGGGATCGAAAGATAATCTTTCTCTCTCCATTCCCACCGGAAAGGGAGGGACTTCGCCTCTCTATAAGTAATCGGGGGCGTCACTCCCCAGCTTAACCAATCACTTCGCTCTATTCTCACAAGCCTATCATAGCGCTCTGCTAACCCTTTTTAAATCTGCTCTTCCCTCTGACAGCTGTCATTTCAGGTGACTCTACGCAACCCTCCTCCACCCCTTTTCACCTCCCGTCCCTCTGAATCCAGGGTCAAGCTAAGCCCCTCCCCTTCAGACCGACCCAAACTATCCATTCACCACCACCAGGGTCAAGCTAAGCCCCTCCCCTTCAGACCGACCCCAACCATCCATTCACCACCACCAGGGTCAAGCTAAGCCACTCCCCTTCAGACCGACCCCAACTATCCATTCACCACCACCAGGGTCAAGCTAAGCCCCTCCCCTTCAGACCGAACCCAACTATCCATTCACCACCACCAGGGTCAAGCTAAGCCACTCCCCTTCAGACCGACCCCAACTATCCATTCACCACCACCAGGGTCAAGCTAAGCCCCTTCCCTTCAGACCGAACCCAACTATCCATTCACCACCACCAGGGTGAAGCTAAGCCACTCCCCTTCAGACCGAACCCAACCATCCATTCACCACCACCAGGGTCAAGCTAAGCCCCTCCCCTTCAGACCGACCCAACCATCCATTCACCACCACCAGGGTCAAGCTAAGCCCCTCCCCTTCAGACCGACCCAACTATCCATTCACCACCACCAGGGTCAAGCTAAGCCACTCCCCTTCAGACCGAACCCAACTATCCATTCACCACCACGGTCAAGCTAAGCCCCTCCCCTTCAGACCGACCCAACCATCCATTCACCACCACCAGGGTCTAGACCCCGGGGGGTTTCATCGGATCGGTTCTCCCCTCCCGAATGATACTCCTGCACAACGGGGCCTAATCGCCAAAACTCCATTACATTCATTTGTGTATTCCTGGCAATAAATATGTATTCTTTCATCAACACCGTCTCTCCTGATTGAACTGGTGTTATTCAAGAAATATATTCAAGCATTCAGCTTCTCTCAAAGGGAGAATATTTACTGCTTTTCTCGGGTTGTGCAGAATATATTATTCATCCTGAGGAGAATTAGGGTTTTATGACAGTTTTAGAATAAATACAATTAGATATTTAGAAAGACAAGAGGTAAACATATGCACTAAATAAAATATAATAGAAACATATCTATACAGACAAGAAATGTTTATTAAATAAGGAGTAAAAGATCAAATAAAAAAGATATTCATATAATCATAAGAAGTTAAAATAAAAATGTGCACAGAAAGGATCAAATAGATTACAAATACTTATGAAAACAAAATGTGTTAAACTGGACACATTGTATAATATATAACAACTTGTTGCTTGGACAAAAAAGACATTTGAATACGTCTGAAAATAATCCGTAGTTGCAACTTTAGGTTTGAGGTTTCAGCAATCTTTAAAAAAGAATAACCTTTTTAATAGAAACCTCCCTCTGTGTGTGTACAGCAACATTCACAACATGTGAGCTCTGATCTGCATGTTAGCAGAGCAACAGGAAGGGCAGATTCTACACTTTAAACTCTATATATTCAGAATAAATCCACTTAAATGTACGAACAATTACAGCCACTTCTGGCACACATGTACTGTATGAAGAGAGACTTGATATATAGGAAGCAGTCCTTAGGGTACAAGGTTTTCAATTGTGAAAGAAAACTCAAATGTTTACATATAGAGTGAATGACTCTGCTTTGTATCCGTTCAAGTGGAACCATTTGCATATCAATAAAAGCACTAAACTTCATTGAAATGGTAAATGTTGCCTTTATTTATATATTCCTGTACAGACGTTTAAAATATTATGTAATGCATGTTGTGAAATAGACATTTTCTTAGTAATGAAATTAATTTATATTGACCAAAAGGGGTTTTCAATGGCCAGTGCAGATATGCATTGTGGCAAATGTGTGTGTGTGCGTGTGCGTGTGTGTGTGTGTGTGTGCGTGTGTGTGTGTGTGTGTGTGGGCGCTTTATTGTTGCTTTGATAAGCGGTGAATGACGTGCGTGAAAAAGAGTGATGATGATGATACAAAACAAATGTGAAAAGAGAGAGAGATGAAGCCATCTGTCTTCCTCTAAGTAAACACTTTCAAGGAGGACAGGGGA